ATATATGAATATATAAAAAATATATAAAAATGCATGTGGATACTCAAATGAAAGCTCTTGATGAGCGTAACATCAAGATGAGCTTATATCTTTAAAATATATATTATATAATTAAGAAATGACTTTGTATCTTGGGAACTATTGACATTTTTAAAGATATAAGCTCACCCCGACATTACACTCACCGAGACCTTTCATTTGAGTACCCACATCAATTTTTCATATATTTTATATATTTATATATATTATATATATGTATATATGAAAAATATATCAAAAATGCAAGTAGGTACTCAAATGAAAGCTCTTGAAGAGTGTAACATCAGGATGAGCTTATATCTTCAAAAATGTCAATAATTAAGAAATTACTTTGTATTTCGTCCACTGATGATATTTTCAACGATATAAGCTCACCCCGACATTACACTCACCGAGACCTTTCATTTGAGTACCCACATCAATTTTTCATATATTTTATATATTATATATATCACAAATATCATATATATAAAATATATATAAAAAAATGCATGTGGGTACTCAAATGAAAGCTCTTGATCATTGTAACTTCGGGATGAGCTTATATCTTTAATAATGTCAATAGTTAAGAAAGTACAATGCAATTTAACAAAAATCATTAACAAAATTCTATCATAGAATTTAATTGTCAAAATTATATTTTATAAATAATACTAAAAAATTTTTATTAAAATTAATTATATTTAAATAAAATAATTAAATATTTTTAAATTTCAGAAAAAATCTATAAGAAGGTACAAGAAAAAAAGTTAAACATAAACTTAACATACTTAAATTGTGAATCCAACATCAAGTATACAGATAGAAAAAATGATAACCAGAGAACGTTAATAACTGGCCGTGAATTGTTAAAAGTAGAAAAATTAGAAGAATACGTAGGATTTTATCTTGGAGATGACAACAAAACTTTAGCATCCTTAGCTCTAAGTATCCCAGTCAAAAATTGGTTCTACTGCACGGGAAAAATTTCTGGTTGTGATAATGATAAAATGGAGATCAAGGAGTTTGAAGTTGCGAAGAATCCCTGGCTGAGAAGGCGCCGATTTTTGGTGGAAAAGTTGAAAGACGCCAAAGTGGTTGGTATCGTCGTCGCTACCCTGGGAATTAAGAATTATTTGGACGTGCTTGATATGGTGAAAAGTATCCTCAAGAGCAAGAATATAAAGTCGTATATTTTTAGTGTCGGAAAACCTAATCCGGCGAAACTGGCAAATTTTGCAGAGGTAAGAATTTTTTTTAATAATTTAAGGGAGCCTAATGTGAAAAATAAATTAATAAAATAATAATAATTAAACAGGTGGATGCATTTGTGGTGATAGCCTGTCCAGAAAATGAGATATTTGACTCAAGCGAGTACTACAAGCCGCTCTGTACGCCCTTTGAAGTAGAACTGGCTTTCAATGACTCAAGAAAGTTCTCCACAAACTACTGCCTGGATTTCCGACAGTTACTACCCGGAGGAATAAACCACGTAGACTTCAAACCAACAGCCGAGTCTGATGTGTCTTTAATTACCGGGCAATTGCGCAATTGCTCGTCGGAAAGTGAGCCGACGGACGCGGAAAAAATGAAGACTCTGGTGTGCAAAAATGACGGAACTGTCGCGATCGGCAAAGCTGGCGCAGATTTTCTTCTCAATCGTTCCTGGCAGGGGCTGGAACAAAAGCTAGGAGAGACTGAAATTATGACAGCTGTTAAGGGTCGCCATGGATTACCAATTAGTTACGACACCGAGCCAGTGATTGATAAGTCGTAATTGATCAGATCATATTTTGTAATTAATAAATTTTTTTATTTATTATATACATAAGTTAATTTACATTAGTTCAGATCCTTTTGGGTCCCGGGGTAAAATTCCTTTTATTCGTAATTCTGCTTGCGCTTGTGCGATTTGCTGGAATAGAAAAATAGTTTTTTAGATGATATAAGCTCACCTTGATGTTACGCTCATTAAGAGCTTTCATTTGAGTACCCACATGCATTTTTGATATATTTTTCATATATAGATATATATAAAATATATATATATATATATAAATATATAATATATATGAAAAAATTCATGTGGGTATTCAAATGAAAGGTCTTGACGAGTATAACGTCAGGATGAGCTTATATCATTAAATATATCATCAGTAGACAAAATATAATGGCTTTTTTTAATTATTGACATTTTTCAAGATATAAACTCATCCTGATGTTACTCTAATCAAGACCTTTCATTTGAGTACCCACATGCATTTTTGATATATTTTTCATATATAGATATATATAAAATATATATATATAAATATATAATATATATGATAAAATTCGTGTGGGTATTCAAATGAAAGGTCTCGATGAGTATAACGTCAGGATGAGCTTATATCATTAAAAATATTATCAGTGAACAAAATACAATGTCTTTTCTTAAATCATTGATATTTTTAATGATATTAGCTTATCAATAAAAATTCAATTCTTACTTGTTGAAGCTGCTTCGCAGCCTCTTCGCAATTATTGAACGTAAAAGTGCGGTACAAAACAACCGACAAAGCGTAAATTCCAAAGGTAATAATTAAAACGATCGGCAATATTAACAATAATGTGTGATGTTCATTTATCCAAGGCGATTTTATTGTGCCGGTTATTGCGGCTGTCCACGGTCCCAAAAATAGAGCCAAGCAAAACACCCATTCCATTAACTTGGTCATCTAAAGAAAAAGACATCAATAATAATGATAATACAAAATAATTGAACAATTTTTTTTTTTTATAAGAAGAAAATCCAATTTACTCAACTTATGTTTATTATTTTATAAAAAAAACTCTTACGTTTTATGCCACTGAGGTAATATTTGTTGATAACGCAATAACCTCCAAGTCTCCAGTCTTTAACACATATCAATTCATCAATTGACGTTTTAAAACGTCATACGTAGGCGCTGCTGGTAATAGAGAAAATTCTGTGAGATTTTTTTGTTGAGTTTCAAAGTTTCTCCGCTAGGGTCCGCATTATGTATTTTTTTTCTCGCTTGCAGTTTGAATTTTTTTTAAACTATATATTTAAGTAGAATTATTTTCAGGAGCTCAAAAATTGACGCAATATTTATTTCATTAATAATAATAATAATAATTTACTTCAAATTTTTATTCTATTTGGATTTAATTTTATAATTAGATTATTTCTAAAAAATTATTAAAAAAAAAAAAGCACTTATAGTATTTTACAATTTTTACATCTAAAATTAAAAATAATTCAATTTTATAATCTTTCAAATTTCATATGTAATTAGCCATCAAAATTTAAGGGACAAATTGGTGCTTATAAAAAATAAAAAAAAAAAACAGTCAAATTTTTTAGCATTAAAATTTATTTTTTCTGCTCAACAAAGACGATATTGAATTAAAATATATAGTCCTTTTCTAAAAAGTTGATTGCGAGTGTAAAGTATAAAGATAGTGGCGGGATTTTTGAAAGAATGAAGGTGAGAGAAGCGAGCATGTTATGTCTAGTAAGTTTATAACTCTTCACACCATTTATTATGATATTTCACAATTACTAATCCACTTCTTGGAGATGGCGTTGGAAATTCTAAATACTCTCTTATTTTATCTGATGTTCTTTTCTCCTTTATTATCATAGCGACGAATCGACATGCTGCTCGGTATAAGTCCGGTATATTGAGGTAATTTGCCGCTTTTATTAATTCAAAAATTTTATGTTTATTTTCTTGGTGGATCTTCTAAAAAATACAAAAACAGAAGAATTAATTATCCAATGAATAAAAATAAAATTTTCAGTTAATGAAAATTCTTTAGAATAAATAATCATCTGTTGTATTTTATAAAAAATAATTTTATTTTATTTACAATTCAATTTTAAAGCTCGTTTAAATTTTCCCGCGCGAATTTTTTCCATACGAATTGAACGCCCTCTTTCGTTCCGATAAGTGAATCATAAAAAAGAACCAATTAAAGACTGTATTACCTTTGGTCAGCCAGCGAACACAATTGAGAACAGTATCAGCTGTCTTCAAGCTGTATTTACAAATAAATTTTTATAAATGGCTGCTTAAAGGACAGAAAATTTCTCCAACTGCCAGCCGAAAAAAATTAATTATAATTAAACAAAACAATACTAAGCTTTAATTTTTAATACGCAACTTCCCATAAGGCAGATGAAGAGATTAAAAAATAAATAGAGTTGAAAAATTTATTTTTTCAAAAGTTATCGTGTTTGCCCCTCCATAAAAACTTTAAAAATCCACACCAGCGATTAAAACGACTTTTATATGTAAAAATAGCAATCAATCGATTAAAAAAAAATATTGTTAAGCTTAGCGATCATTTATCTTTTAACCCGTCGATAGAAAAACTAATTATCTACTGCACACTACAAGAATAAATAAAAAAAGTTAAAAAGTTACCTTAAAAAACGCTCGTGGCTTCTCTTCTAAGTTGAAACATTTGTACCCACAATTAATTTTAATTGGTATCTCTTCTCCTTTTTTCACATAACTATGCTCACTATCCCAAATTTTAAGTAACTTAAATATGTCCGATGAAACATTCGGCAAAGGGATATCATTACTGGCGTCGTCTGAAAGCTCCAATAATTCACTTATCGTTTGCCATCTAATGATCATAGATCTTGCAACTCTGTGTGATTCTCCGTCGCTTGTTATAATATTACAAGTCCTACCATCTTCCGAATCAACATCCATTTTTTTGGACATTTTGACGTTGTTAAAAATCTCTTTACTGATGAACTTCAAGGATAAAACTAATGAAGTAATGATTGGCACTTCTATTAAATAGCTTCGTAAACTCACCACTAATATTATCGATAATCACCGTTATCAATACGTGAGTTATCGTAGAACGTATGAATTGGAATTATGTGAACAAATTTGAAATTATTCTATTCATTAGTCATTTTTTATCACAAATTTTTATCATATGAGATTATTATTATTTAATCTTTATACTAGAAATGAATTTTGCGCGCGCAAGCGCGCGCCTAACTATAGAGTTTGCATATATTTTTCATTGCTTATGATATATTCGACCAATCACGTTACGAATAGTTTGTATGCCACATACATTTCATCTCAATTTTATATTAGGTACTAGATTTAATTTTCGCGCGCAAGCGCGC